CACCCCCGTCCCCGCCGCGGCGGCGTGTCCCGGGCGCTGGCGGGAGCCGGCACTCTTGCCGTGCCGCTCTGCGGAGCGTCGCGTCCCTTTAACTCCGCCTGGCTGACGAGGCACCCGCGATCCTTCTGGAAGAGCGCTGTGGATCTTTCTTTCCTCGTCCAGTCACCATGGCTGCATCGCAAGTGCTCGATTCCGCTTGACTAACTACAGATACTTGGCGGTCTTACTAAAGAACGGAGGTTTCCTTGTCGCCGTAGGTCAGTTACGGGATGCTGTAATTGCAGGAAAATGATTCGGTTCTTAGTGCAGCTTTCACCTGTGGAAGTCCCTGCCCTCCAAAATACTTGTTGGTGTTTATAAATGTACGTACTGTACAGAATAAAGGTGCAGGGAGGGAGTCATTGACGTGTTTCACGTTACCCGTTAGAGAAGGGTTGAGTTTGACTCCGTGAGACACTGTAGTTGTACAAGAGACTCGTGGACTGCTATCACAAATGATTATGTGGGGACTTTGGGATAAGGCGTAATGATTTCAATTTAGCCGAGACATTAAATAGGATTCTTTACCAATTTTCTTATTGTAGCTTGGTATGTGCCATGTCTAGCTTCACTTGAGACCCTCCAAGAATTATGTAGGAAGGAAAATCTCAGATGTAAATCCATTGGAATCACCAACAGGAATCTAAAGAGTTATGAGGTGGAATATTTGTGTGACTACAAGGTAGAAGAGGTAAGAGAAACACAGACCAATTTGATCACTCTTTCAGCTGAAATTTGGAAGCGAGCCAAAGGTAGTTTTGCTGATAATATAAAGTAGCAGGCTGTGAGGACAAAGCTCTTGCTGACGTCGAATGAAGTATCTTTTAAACTTCGAACTGTAAACAGAAAGCGGTATAACGACTGCTTTCGGTATGTTGAAGGAAGGTCTTTTTCTGAAATTACAGAGATGTTAGAATATGAAATGTTTCGCCTTTGCGTATCTAGAAGTTAAGCAAAATGCTGATGCTTTTAGGTTGTAGCTTGGTATGTATTAAGCTTCTACTTTATTTGCAGGTAACAGTCTATATTTCTCTCTTGACTGTTGTAGTCTGTTTGATGAAGAGTTAGGGCCACGTGCTGCAACTGGATTCCTACGGCTTGATCGTGCCAGTGAAATTCAGTCTCAGGATTTGGCCTTGTTACAGTTATTTGGCCTTTTTAAAATAAGTACAAAATGTATAGTGCTTGATTATAAATACAATGTTATGTGTTTTGAATGGATTACTCCTTTGGGAGGATAGTTGATATGACAAATAGTGGTTTTTGTAGATTTTTTCAGTAAGTTTAGAATTATTTTTTTGTTCCATATGTGATACGACTACATTCTGCTTGTGCATATGAGTCATGCAACTAGTTAGTATAACTTACTTAACGGCCTTAACAAATTAGCCTCCTCCAGGTATAACGTTAGCGATCAGAGTTCATCCCAGCTGTTTATTTCTTTGCCCCTAGAGATGATATGTAAAGTATCCAAAATTGTGCTATACATTAATTTGCTTGTGCATATGAGTCATGCAACTAGTTAGTATAGCTTACTTAACGGCCTTAACAAACTAGCCTCTTCCAGGTATAACGTTAGTGATCAGAGTTCATCCCAGCTGTTTATTTCTTTGCCTCTAGAGATGATATGTAAAGTATCCAAATTTGTGCTATACATTAATTTGCAAACAGAAAACTTGATTTTTCTCTTTCTCCCCGATTCTAATTGTTATGGGGACATCAAGACCTTCTGCACTGTATGCTGTTTCTTAACTCCAGAGCTCTTTTGTGTTTGTCTGTGTACTCTGTGATGCTGGATTTCAGCAAAGTGAAATGTGGCTAAATCTGTATCTGTTTCTGTATTTCAAGGGCACAGAATACTATCTTGTGAAATGGAAAGGATGGCCAGAATCTTCAAATACTTGGGAACCTCAGAAAAATCTGAAATGCCCATTGCTTCTTCAAAACTTTCTTAGTGACAAGAATGAATACTTGTCTCGGGTGAGAGAAGGCAAAGCACTGAAAGTGAGAAACCATGTTAAAGCTTTGAAACCTGCGGTTGCAGATTACATTGTAAAGAAGGCTAAGCAAAGAATAGCTCTGCAGAGATGGAAAGAAGAACTCAACAGGAAAAAGAATCATAAAGCAATGATTCTAGTAGAAAACACTGTGGATCTTGAAGGCCCTCCTTTAGACTTCTACTACATTAATGAGTATAAACCTGCTCCGGGAATAAATGTAATAAATGGAATAACGACTGGTTGTGAATGCACTGACTGCCCTGCTGAGAAGTGCTGTCCAAAGGAGGCTGGATTTATTTTGGCTTACAATAAACGAAAGAAGTTGAAAATCCAGCCCGGCTTGCCCATCTATGAATGCAATTCGTTTTGTAGGTGTGGGCCTGACTGCCCCAATAGGATAGTACAGAAAGGTACACCGTATTCTCTTTGCATCTTCAGAACTAACAATGGCCGTGGTTGGGGAGTAAAAACCCTCCAGAAAATTAAAACCAACAGTTTTGTGATGGAGTATGTTGGAGAGGTATGTATTTATCTCATATAGATGAATTATTTACGATAAGGGAAATGTTGGAGAAAATCTTGATGAGCTTTCTCTCAGTTTTAACATTTCTTGACTTCTACTGTATAATAGATAAGTCTGCTTTTGAGTAGAGGAATACAATAGGCATTCTAGATGACAGAAAAAATATATTGTCCAGAACGTCCTCTATTCCAGAGCAATTGTAAAAGGTTGAATGTAAAGAGAATACTTACCCTGTGTGTCGCTAAACAGTTATTTTAGATAAATGCCCTAGTAGTATTTCTAAAAGCAAGTCCTTGTTTTCTTTCACAGCAGTCGTATTCTTCATTCTTCCCCGACCATCTTTATTATTGTAGTTTTTGCTGTCCCCCAGGCACAGTTGTTACTGAACTCCCCACCCAGTCTGTCAGTCCCTTTTCTGTTTTGTCTGAACTTTCAAGGTAGTATTTCCAAACATATTTATTACTTTTGATTAACATCAAGAATAAGACTTGCAGTGCGGACATTATCTGTTTACGCAATCTCATACTATTTCAAACAGAACTCTCATGTTATAAAATACAGACCTTGAGTTACTCTTGAGATTTTGTATTGCTTTGTGTTTATCTGGTTCAGCCTCTGCTCTGCTTCAGGGCTCTTTACATCAGTAGCTCCTGACGGCCTCTCTGATCCAGTCTGTTGTGTATTTCTGCTACAAATCTGCCTTGCTACTAAGCTGACTCAAAATAATTCCTTCTGTCCCTTTGTACAAATGTTTATGGTCTTTATTGTATTTCCTCCATCCTTTCTGCCCCAAATCTTCTAACTTCTCATGTTCGTACCTTTCAATATTCTAACTACATACCTTTCTCGTAAGTGTACGAGAGGTCAGTCACTCAAAATATCTCTGTTGAAGGTTTGATGCAGAAAGATGATAATGTGATTTTGTTGCTTAAAGGAAAAAAAAGAATTTACTTATTCCCTACTGCTGAATAAGTTCTCAAATCTGATCTGTCAGAAAGATTTGAGAGGGTTTTATTGTCCAATTCCACCACATCTCATACCTGTCTTGCTGCCAAATTGTGATTGCTGAGTCTGCACAACAGAATACATTTAACAGGCTGCAGATGAAGTTGTTTAAGCTGTTGGTTCTGTCAAAAGTGACTGTAGTTCTTTTTCTTTGGGGAGTTTCTGGATTTCTACCTTGCGCTGATACATGCTAACCTAATTGCATAGATTCAGCTTTGTGAAGTGATGTATCTGTCAAAGCTGTCATGAATAGGATCTCTCATTGCAGTCAAAAATAGCAGGAAGAGATGCTTCTAGGGAAGGGAGGAGATGAGTACTGGACTGTAAATGTGGCTGGGTTGTAAAGACTGATACCTGTTGATCTTCGTCTGTGTGAAGGGAGAAAATTGAAACTTTATTTTACGTCAAGTAAACAAGGCTCTCTGAGTCTAATGAAAAAATTGTGTGTATAGAAACTTCAAGTATAAACGATTGACTGTATCTGTCATCATCAGAACTCTTAACAGAAGGTGCTGGTATTTTTTTTCCTGAGACAAGATAGTGCTGTGTGTCAGCTGTAGACAAATTACATCCAGAGAAGCCTCAGTCACTAACTAGTTTAGCTGTATGTATGTATTCTTTATTCAGTAGAGATGGAATGCTATTTCAACATCAAAAAGCGAATGTGGTATTTTTTACTAAGTAAAGTTTTTTTTCTAATTTGATTGTGATTTTTGTTTTAATTTAGTAATAGTTAATAATATGATGCAGGTTTCTTTTTTTCTCTTTCTTTAGGTGATTACAAGTGAGGAAGCAGAGAGACGAGGCCAGCTTTATGACAACCAGGGAAATACATACTTGTTTGATTTGGACTATGACTCAGATGAGTTTACAGTAGATGCAGCTCGATATGGAAATGTGTCCCACTTTGTGAATCACAGCGTAAGACCTTGTTTTATATACTAAGAATTTGGAGGATTATCCTAATTGTGCCAGAAATATCTTTTCCTGCTGTAAATATTTTCTTACCATATTCACAGTTTTTCTGGAGCAGTTTGTTTCATGCCAGCATAGTCCAGTCAGTTAGATGACATAATACATAGAACGGAATATTTAGCTTTACTCGGAGTAGGACTGCTTACAAAAATCTGGGAATGAGATGCTGCTGAAGTGGGCATCTGGTAGGACTGGGGTTGTCACTGAATCCACTGGTTCTAGACAACCAAAATAGGGTGGTTTGGGTGTGGTTTTTTCCAAGTAACTAAAAGACCTAACACACGAGAAGTACTTAATAAAGTTAGTGGAGAGTCAAAGACAATAGGAATTGATGCAGTATTTTGTAGCAGGGCAGGATGGGGGTTTATGTCGAATGTCATTCTTCAAACATTGGTAGAGGAAAAAATGAAAATTCCTATGCTTTCTTTGGTATTTCTCCCCTGTAGATACCTTTTTCCCTCCTTATATAAAATCTAAACTTGCCAGAGAATTCGAAAGTAAATTTTAAACAGGAAATTTTTGTAGTGTTTTGTTTTCTGTTCAACTGAAGTACCTAAAGCAAGAAGGCTGAACTGCATCTGTAAAGGAATTATGTATCATTCCTGAACTAAAAATTATTATTTCTTACTGATGTAATGTTTGTGAGGTATGCAGTCAGTGTTCTACAAATACAGTAAATTCATGTCTTCCAATTTGTGAGCTGATGGCGTTTGTATTTCATGCAGCCTTGCAAGGGAGGATGAAGAAGAGTTTTAGATACAGCCAATTTTGCTCTTCACTTTCGGAAATGGGAGTGAAGTATTCTCACACTTCGGTGTAAAGTTAAATGTCTAACTTCACTTCTGATTCTTTAATGTGGGATATATTTTACTGTTAGAGAGCAAAAAGGTGTGCAGGCTTTAACAAACTGCCTCAGTCGCTACTGACTTCTGACACTTAATACAGAAAAAATGATAAAGTGGTTTCTAGTTCCTGCTTAGTTTCCTTGACCCACCCCCTCCCACCCAGACCACAGCAGATAATTCAGAAGCCAAGCAGGTTAGCAATTGAAAATAGAAGTTTATTCGTAATATGAAAATACTATTTCTAGCCTGGAAGCAGTGCTTAAACCTAAATACAGAATAGTGAGTGTGTGTGGCTTGAAACGCTAGGTTGTTTTTCGTATCTTTCCTTTCAATTTTAGTTCTTTTTGTGGGTTTTGTAGGTAAATCTTAACCTCTGAATGTAGTTTTGATTGCTTTGTCATCTTTTTTGTTGTCATCTTTTGAAGGTACCATATTTTTTTTTAATAGGCTGTTGCATATTAGTGTAATCCACGTACTGTGTAAAGGTTGCCTTCTTGAAAGGACTCAACTCTAAGCTAGGAGTGTTCTCCTTTAATGCTATTTCAAGAAGGTAATTTGTTGATTTCAGAAGATAACTTAATTTTGGACTTCTGTCACTGAGAGAAGAAGCAGTTCGTTCTTTCCTGTGACCTTTGTTTACTTAAACACTTCAGTGAAACTTACTGTGCATTTTTCTTAACAGAAACTATGTTAATTTTTGCCTTACAGTGTGATCCAAATCTTCAAGTCTTCAATGTGTTTATTGATAACCTCGACTTGCGTCTTCCTCGAATAGCGCTGTTTTCTACACGAACCATCAAGGCTGGAGAAGAGCTAACCTTTGACTATCAGATGAAAGGTCTGCGGATTTTACAGCTGTGCTCGCGGGAGGTTTGGGGCACCGGTGGGTTTTGTTGCAGCCTGACTGATGTTAGCATTTCAGGTCAGGCACTGCATCTCCCTAACACAGCTCTGTGGATTCCAGAACAGACGTCGCTCATTGACGTGTAGCGCAGACAGAGCGCGCCCAGAAGCTTTTGTGTGCACCTCTAGGGCGTTACCTCCTTCAGCGCTCCTAGCTCACAGCAAGGGCTTGTGGTTGGAGCATCTGGCAAGGCAAATTATTTTGAAGATTTGTCACAAGAACGCTCAAAAGAATGGTCAGGATACCATTTAGAAAAGCTTTCCTTTATTCAAAGGCATTTACATGGCATTTCAGGTAAACTACTTTCTAAGTAATCTGCTAGCGATAAAGGCAGTTGTAACAGCTGAGTGATCTAAGGCACCATAGGTTTGTCTTTGGATTCTGGTGTCTGTAGGCCTCAGTTGTGGATGTAGGTCCTACAGTGCAGATGTTTAGGAAGGAAGAAGAAGGACAGAACAAAGTTCACTATTGTTTTGCTGGGTTGGATACATTGATCATTATGCAGAGACTTCAGGAAACAAAGTTCCTAGTGAGATGCTATCAGCTCTTTGGGAAGTAAGAAAGACATTTTGTACTGTGAGAACCATCACTCACTGGAACAACCTCTCCAGGGACATGGTGAAGTCCCCATCACTGGAGGTTTTCAAGATGCGATGGGACAGGGTGCTAGATAATCTTGTCCAGGCTCCCTTTCCCACAAAAGGTTGTACCAGATGATCTTTTGAGGTCCCTTCCAACTTGGGCTGTTTGATGATTCTTTGATAGTTGATCTTCCATTCAGTGTTCAAGGCCAGGTTGTGCGGGGCTTTGAGCAAGCTGATCTGGTGAAAGACGTCTCTGCCCACGTTGGGGGTTGGACGAGGTGGTCTTTAAAGGTCCCTTCCAACCCAAACCATTCTGTGACTTCATTTTTTTTCCAGTACAATAAAAAATTCTTGAAGTTCGCTGGCAGGGGGGTTGTGTGTGTCAAACTTTGCATGCAAACCATTTATCCGCAACAGCGATGCATTGTTGGCCCACTGGTTTTCAGAGAAGCATCCCTATACTCCAGAGCTGTACCTCATTCTTGTAGAAGTTCTCTTTAAGTGCTGACAAATTGATCTTATTTAAATCCTTAAGACGCCTCTTTTTTTGTGGTGTCCGTGACACTAACGTTGAAGGCAGGCTGCAGTCTCAGCTGACCAGTACGGATACAGACCTGAGGGTACGAGGCTCGAGTGTGTTGAGCTTTGGATCCTGATACGTATGCTAGGTGTTGTATAAGTAGTTGTAACCTGGGTGTCGGTAGAATTTGAGTATTGCTTCACACACAGTTCTTTGAAGAACTGGGGTGTTAGAAGGCTTTTTGAAGCCATTTGAATACCTAGCACAGTTTCAGTCTGTCTTTTAAAACTTGCTTATTTGTGTTTATCTGTGTCACAGGTTCAATAGATCTGACTTCAGACTCTGCTGATGGTCTTAGCCCATCCAGAAAGAGGATCAGAACTGTCTGTAAATGCGGAGCTGTGTGTTGCAGAGGTTATCTCAACTGAGTTCGGGTATCCAAAGTCACAAATACTTTGTTCTCTTTTAAATGTGTTTTAAGAAGACTCTTCTTTCACACGTCTATTCAAGTATTCCTACATCTAATGTAAATAAATACAGTGAAAACAAGGCATTACATTGGTAATTGAAATGGCATTGGCCAAAGAGAGAGATGTAATGTTTCAGGCAAATACAAAACTGATAACGGGGATTAAAAATTGATTTTTTCTAGAACTGTTATTTAGGAAGCGGTAAAATGTATGCTAAGAAAACTCTTTAAAATGTACCTTTATTTGAATATTTGAGTGTGAGCTTACAGCCGTACGCCTTTTAGGAACTGATTTCAAGTGGGATGAAGTGATGTTACGTATTTTCTATACCTTGAAGAGTCTGGAGGCATTTGATTTGAATCCTAAATCATAGCTGGCAGTTCTTTTGCTTTTTTGTTGGATAAAGAAAAACTTCAAGAGATTAGCAATAACGTTTATGGCACCGGGGTGAAGGATTAAGGACAGCCATCAGACTGTGTCTAAATGAAGGTCCACAGGAACGCAAATTGTAAAATGTCTATTGAACTCCACGCAAGTAAAGCAATTGGTTTTGGCAGATTCCAGATGTAAGATCAAGGTCTCTAACGTTTTTAGCTGATGATATGTTATTTAGAAGTTTTACAAATAGATTTTTTTTTTTCAATTTTTATGTTCTGATTTTTAGTTAGGATGCTATAGGAGATCTGCAGCTCTACAGAGAATTTGTAAATACCGGGTTATCGGTAGTAACATACACTGTTTGTTTTCATTGCAGAAATTTGGCAGTCATTGCTGAAACAAACTACTGGCTACAGTTTGGAAATAGATAACAAAAGAATAGGGAGAGCAGCCCATTGTCTAACAAAGCTGATGCATTAGAGAGATACGCTCAGTTATCTGTTAGGTGAAAAAATACCTTGGGAATTGATTTGTATTCGTAACTGGTTTTGATTAAGTTTTTACATACTGTGACTTTTTTTTATCTAGCAACAGACTTTTAAGATACTAGGCCTGTTCTTTCTTGTTGCAAAAATGTTAACGTCAGTGAAATTAGACTAGGAATGAGTTTACCCATTCGCTGTAGACATTTGTAAGATGTTCTCGAATGTAAAGGCTCAGAAATGTACTGTTCTTCAGCTGCTAGTCTTCTGTTTTTTTTTTTTCCTGATCACCTTAAAGTTGTCTCGATCTGTTCGTAATGTATGCAAAGTTTTGCTTGGCTTCAAAAACACTGAAGAGCAGTTGAGTTATGAGTGGAGTTACAGCCAAGGTCCACCTCCAGGGATGATTTAAGTGCTTTATTTTCATGGATTAAAAGCTTGTAAAACTTGCATATTGCTTACAAATCATGTAAATGTTGATAGGTCAGGCAGAATAATGTTGCTCCATAAATGGATGCTTCATAAATGGATGCTAGCTATGTATCATAGGTCAGCTAGTTACCTTTATAAGGTGCACAGCTGTTGGCTCAGGTGAATGAAGTCGAGTACCCAGCATGTAACCGTTTACTTAATTTGTTAGAAAATGCCTTAAATTTCATGTTAATTACTAGCACTCCAAAAAGAGTCTTTCAAAGGATAATACAGGTTGTTTGTTCATTAAGAAGCACAGTTGCATTTGCACTGAAGATCCAGCTCTTTGGCAGAAAGTGAAATTTTATATGCTACTGGCCAAAATCGGTTTCACGGTTGGGGTGACGAGTGTGGGCCATTGAAAGTGCTGTGTAAGTTTTGTAATCTGCAATACAAAGAGATACACATCGAAATAGAGACTTTATATTGTTTAATGAATAGGAGAAAGTTTGCTTAGATTTAAAAGTACATTACCAGGCACACCTGTATCCGCACACCTGTATCCACACACTTGGATAAATGCTGAATCTAGTCAATTTTTATCATGCCACATCTCTAATGATTTTTTTTTTTTTTTTTTTAAAATATATAAAGTTGAAGTGGAATGTGGAGCTTTGATGTTAGCAAACTCTAGATGATCTTGCATCATTTGGAGTCATTAGTGCTTTCTCTTGCATGTAGCCCAATCCAGCGATGCATTCCACGTGGATGGAATCTGCAATCTCCAGCTCCTTAATCCGCTGCAGTCTGCAGCCTTGCCTGTCGGTACAGGATGGCGAGAGTGGCTGCGGCGAGAAATGGATTCCTTACCAAATTGGTTTCTCTGGCCTCTCCTGTACAGGAGGACACAGGGCTGGTTCGACACTCTTTTTGTCTTATGTGTGTCCATGCCCAGTTTGATTTAAAAATTGCAAGTAAATGCATTTTCAAAGATAAAAATCTTAGAAGTTGTACTTGAGTTCAGTCTCTGCCTCTCCCAAGGCAGTATGTGTTACCACCAGCATTGGAATAACACTGCTGTTCGTTAAGGATATGTGTGTTACCTCTTGTGCGATAAATAAAGGACCGTTAATTTATGTTCTGGGAGGTAACAGTATTCTGTATTTATTTGAAGTAAACCCATGTATCCAGTTTCCAATTTAGAGCCTTGAACAGTATTTTATATTTACGTATTCACAGTGCATTTGGATTGCAGTCAGTGAATTAGCTTAATGGGACACTGTGTCACTTTTAAAACTCCTTTTGCTGTTTTTATGAGTTCGGGGGAAAATTGCCGAATTGGAAAAGGAGAAAAAGCTATTTTCAATTTGTTAAGGAGCCTAAACCAGCCTAGCTTCTGCCTTTGTTTTGCTTTGTGGTCTGTTAGCATCATCATGGCCACCAGTTGGGTTTTTGCTGGGTTTAATTTTTTTTTTTTGGTAGCAAAACTAAAGCTGCAGGATCACCTGTAAGAAAAGCTATTGTCTATTTATTTAATCTCCAAGTCAAGTCAATCTTTTGGTTATTTCTAATGTATGTTTTAGGACTGTGTACATTAGAATATGCAGTTTGTAAGCTCAGGAACATTTTCTTTTCATAATGTGTGATCTCTAGTATTGCTATCTTCCTATAGTTTTTGATAAAATAAATTAAATTTAGTTTTTCTTTTGTTGTTGTCATTCTTAACAAAAAAAAAAATCTTAGCCTGTAAAAACCAGCTGTAGCTGTAGCAGTAGAATTTGCTTTTAAGACTGCAACCTCGTAACTCCTCTCCTGTACCACGTTTTCTGGCACAGTAAGGACTGTAGTAGAGCGATCATGAGGAAGTCATGTGTTTCCTATTCAGTTTATGGCTAAGAACTGGTATAAATTTACACTGTCGACTTGTCTAAAGCAGACTGGTTCCTGTATATTTAAGCACACTGTAAATGCAGCCCTGAACTTAGATGTGTAGTACAGTTAAGGAAACAAACCAACATAAGAAATTCTGCTCTGTATGATTTTATTCACAGAGGTAGTTACAACAGCAGACAGCTTGCTAAAAAAGCAAATTGATAGCCCATGTTTGGAATGGAGCGGGCAAGGTGACAGTGGAGAAATACATGGACTTCAATATCCTTAAAACCATACATAGACGATAGCAATTTTTCTTCTTCCCCCCCCACCCCCTCCCGCCACTGTTCCCAACAGCAGAATGCTGGCTGGTTTAACATTCACATGTCGCTAAAGATGGCAGAAAGACTGAAGACATAGAGGGGAAAGCTGCCATACTAAAGGTCTGTTTAATTCTCGGGGACTTAAGTCCACGTGGATGGGAAACCTCATGGATTTTTTGATGACTTCTGCTGTTTAGGCATTTTAGTAGGCACTGCAGCTTAACAGAAACCTGAATTACATTTCCATTTTAGAAGGTTAAGAATTTTGGCAAAGAGTTATGATGGCACACGTGTATGGAGAGTCTATTGTCTTGATTTAAAAAAGAAATCTAAACAGGTCTGAACTCAGTGAAGTCAACAGAACATTGCAGGAGGTGAAATTTGGTAATACAAGAGCCTTGAGTAACATAACCACCTGTCCAGGATAACAGGATAGCTTCTGTTGCTGTGACTTAGCCTCCAGAGCAGGTTCCTGCTGGTGGCTTTGGAACCAAATGCCACAGGATTTTATTTTTAAGTGGTTCTGAAAAACGATTCAGAACAAGCCAAAACATGGAGCAACTGATGACAAGTTGTTTGCAATGAGTTAGATTTAAACCATAGACAATGGTGTATCATACCTCATTCAGGAGTTAAATCGGGTGACACCACTTGCTCAGTGTAAAGAGAGGCGGCTTGAAAAGAACAATTTGATTAAAAAAAACCTTTTCTCAGTAATTCTCTAATCTGTGCTGCAGTTGTTTTTAAAAATAACTGCAGCAAATACTCAGGATTGATGTTGAAATACAACTATTGCATTGTTTGCATGGTTGTTCCTAAAAGATGTCATGTTCCTCCCCACAGTTAAAAATGTGGTATTTTATTAAAACCTGAGATCACATATATATCAAAGGCAAACTCTTAGAGCTCATAATGAAGAGAAACTAAATTTCATTTAGTGTTCTACCCTTAGTTTTGTCTGGTCCCTTTTTTGTCTACTTACAGTCCTGGAGAACCGAACTCAGGAGGCAGAAGGCTTTTACAGCCCCTCCTAAGAATACTTTTCAGTATTTCATGGAAGGAACAATAAAGTTACACAGGCTGCAAATTTCTAATTCTGACAGTAAGATATTTCTGAAAAAATTGCATGAATTAGCATAGCTGCAGATAGTAATCAGCACTAAAGAGAAAAATAATTTGGGGTTTAATAAACAAATTTTGGTATTTATTTTCATTATGTCAAGTAATACCTGTCTTCAGGAGACTTTTTTCTCATGAGTATGCTTTCACCTGCTGCTAGCTTCTTATATAAAGAGTGCAGTTTATCTGGCCGAGGCGCTTCAGCATCAGGAGTCAAGGGAATTTCAAAGTCAGAGGAGCTCTGGGAGTCCCTCCTCAGTTCTAGATCAGGAGTCCTGGAGTTGTCACTCACTTCCACCAGCACCTCTTGAACGTGAGCAGTGCCAGCTTCTGCATCTTTCTCACAGTCTTTGCTTCTCAAGTCACAGGCATCAGCGGCACAAGATCTGTTCTGACCCGCTGGCTTCCACCGACTGTTGTCAGGCTGACTGTCTCTGGCAGTCTCCTGCAATACAGAAACAACTGTTCTGCTCCCACCTTTGCCGAAGCAGCTGAAGTCCAAGGCGTTTTTCTCTTGGGAGGAAATGAGTACTGTGTCCATCTGGCTATCCCAGCCCTGGCTCCCCTGCTCCGATACGTGTGTCGACTGGGAAGAATTCTGGGAGGAGATGTGTGTCGAGTCGCTTACTCCATCCGAATCACTGAAGAGCGACTGGGACCCGCCAGCATCTGCTGAAGATGGGAAGGTGTCCTCATTTCCAGAGCTTTCTTCTAGTTTGTTACACTTAAAAAATGCATCCCAGCAAGGGACGTCGGCATTAGACTCCTGTTGGTCGCTAGTTACTCCATTGAAATTTGATGTGGAAGTGGCATCTGGCTCAGGGGAAAGAACTTGAACTGCGTTTTTTTCAGATTCTTCTTCGTCGTCATCATCATCATCATCATCATCATCATTTGATTCCTCACAGTCCATGAAGTCTCTCTTGGGGGAGGTGTAAGTTGTGGTTGCTTTGTAACTTTCTGTGCTCTCATTGATGTTTCCTTTGGCATTTTCAGATTGTCCTGTGCTGGATGGCCTGCTCTCTTCTCTCTGCTGTTTTGGAATCTTAGGCCTTGCGGAAGTTAATTCTGTATCAAAGAGATCATCTTCATCTGTCAAGAAAAGAACAGGAAAAAAAACCACACTAGGAAAAGTTCAGATCTCTGATAAAATACTGTTGAGAGCAAAGTTTCAATAAAAATTCATTTAGTATGAAGAGAGGAAAAAGTTCTTTAACCCAGATGGAGAGTTAGCAGGACATTATTGACAGCATTTGCCTTGTCTAGCGCAGTGCCTTACGAGGAGAGCTGCTAGTTGTCATCCTCCATATAAGGTACAGCAGAGCAGAGGTAGCCCTGGTAGACACGACTGTTCAGCCCTCTGACATGTTTTGCCAGGACTGCATTACCCTTGCATACTTGGCACTTGAGAAATGGCCAGAGAGGATGCCACAGGCCCAAAGCTGTCTTCTAGTTCCCAAGTGGTTTTCCAGAGGCTCTGTACAGCATCCGTTTACCATCATAAATTAAAAAAGCTACAAGGTGCTAAAAAGCCAGCTGTGTGAGATCATGAAGAAGAGCGATTCCACTGGTATAGCACTCTGTCCCCAACAACACAGGAGGTGATGCAAGCAAAGTTCTGTTAGAAACAGCTTTACTAGCGATGGTCTAGGACTGTGGAATGGAACTCTTCCCGAAACTTAAAGGGTTGTTAAGCATTAAGTACATTTTAAGATCGCAAACAAGTACGCTTTTACACAATTAGTGCTCTCTCACCCTCCTAAAACCTAAGTTCATTTATATTTCTCCTTTCTAACTTTGCTTTGAACACGAACAGACTATGGTGAACACCATGGCTTTTGGCACCTTTGCTTAGTCTCAGACTTTCATTTAAGGCACAGTAGCACCAGCAGAACCTTTACCTGTATCAGATGAGTCTGTCTTGTGGACTCTCTTCAGTGTTCCTAAGGGCCTGTACCTGGGTTCCATGTTTCTCCTGTACGACCTGCATAATGGCTTTAATCTGAGGTGAATGAGAAAAGCGATTACTATTTAGAACTCCGCAGATACTTTCAGGAGCAAAAGTAAATCTTTTAACTGGATCTAAGTACACTGCTTCATGCCTTTCACAGGCACTGCAGTAAAATTGTTAAAGGCAGCAATAGCTAGGGAAAAGTTCTTAAGCCATTGGTGAGCTTAGGCTGCTTAAAGCTAGACGTCTGTCATTTCTATGTATTTACCTTAAAACGTACACCATTTGGAAACTTTCAGTCCCTTGCTTAGAGAAGACAATGACAGGGTTCAAAATCTGACTGCAGTTTTGTTCAGTAATGGTAAAGTATCTCCTTTCTTATTAAGGAGGAAAATAAAAAGGAACAAAGAAACGAGTCTTCATTTTGTTCAGACTGAGTGACATCACTGCTGCTCCATCAGAGCGCTTTCTAAGCTGCCAACATCTGTAACAGCACAAGAGTTCACGCCTTTGTGATGCTATGCAGAGGCTAGGAGTTCAAGGCCCCAGAGAAATTCTCCCTAAAAGAAAGTTCCGAGAAGTAGCAATGACAAATAGAAATAGGTCACAGAATGGAGTGAGATGAATGTGTATTCAGATTCCACTCAAATACGAGTTTAACAGCAGAAAAGCCTCTATACATAGATACAAGTAGTGTGTGGAATACAAACTCTCAGACTTAGCACAACATCAAAGTGTTCTTCAGAAAGCTGAAGTTTGCAGGACTGAATATAGAAAAAAAAAAAGTGAATTATCAGACAAGTAAAGCAAAAGGCAGTGGCCTGCTCGAGCGGCTGGGATTCAGGAGGGGAGTTGTCCTTACAAGAACAGAGATCAGATCACCTCCATTCAGCAGCTGCTTGTCACTTACATTTCCATAACTTTGTCTTCTGTCCCACCCACTGGCAGTACATTGGGATACACATTCACAGGACGGATATAGCTCAGGAAATCCTTAATCTAAATTGAAGAAAAGGAGCAGCAGGTTAACAAGTTACATCGACAGTTAATAATTTCACTTAGTGGCTGCACTGATCAAAGCACACGCACAATAAGTACTACCAGTTGTCTCATGTAAAGACCAATATGACCCATGAGCCAAACTCTGTTGAAGTGGATAGCTCCGTAACAAGAAAACAGGTCTGAAGGGATGCTGAGAACTCAGCCTCACTAACCACCTCACAGCAATTACCAACTACTACGCAGGCCATCACTGTCTCTGAAAGAAAAGGCTAGACAAATCTGTTCCTAGGGAAAGTGATCCAGGGCTTCACTGTTCTTACTGCTGTAGATCTTTTCAGACCTGCATTTTTTTTACGAGACTTCAAGTCCCTAGTTGTGCAGATCAGAGCATTCCCTTCCCCAAAGACTTTTCTTAAAGTCTCCCTTCAGTCAACTATAAAAGCCCATATGACAAAACACATCACTTTTTCCATGCTTTATTCTGTTGTCTTCTAGATGCTCTCCAGACAGTAAATTTCTTGAAGAATTGTGTCCAGTTTGGGGCACTCCACTCCAGCTGAGGCTTTATCAGGGCTGAGCACTGAAAACACTTGCAAGTGTACAGATTACACTCCTATCTCTACGGACCGGTAGGACCCATCTATTTTTGCATGTGGAGGTATGAGTCTGTTACAGTACACTACCCCCCATATTCTGCCAGCAACGGTGCCACGTTGTATGTACTACGCTCCACTTAAAATGGAGTACCTCCATTTAAAATTCTGCATGGCAGAGCAAATTAAAACTTAACCAGGATCTTAAAAACAGGACTGTCTTCCTAGGGCTCTGAATAATCTCCATTTTGTATGTGCAAGGCTTTGTGACAGGTTAATTGTTAGCACTGATCCAGTTTCAGTTCAGTTTCTTAGGAGACAGAAGTATTTTAAGAACTGGATCGAGTCATATTACATGAAAGTGTGTGATTCTGGAGAAGGTGCTGCCATGATCAATTTCCTTTTAGTCTTTAACACAGAAAGAGGAGTAACAGCGGCAGCTACGACGTAAGAAAATGCTGTTTAAATGTGTGGGCAGGGAAAAGAAAGCAAACCCATCCAAAACTGAGTCACAGCAGATAAACAATGTATTGAAAACCAAAATTCCAAGCTTCAAGCATTGCATAGTTACACAGTAATCTAATATAGAAAGGCAGTCAAAACAATTGTAGCAGTGACCAATACTCTGAGAGAACAAAAAAATAAGCTTGTAATCCTGCCCTACCTTGACATGTTCTTCTGCAGCTATATTAAAACAGACTTCTCTGTCTTCAGCATCCAGAACTTCCTATCCCCCTATGTCTTACTACTGAAAAGATTTTTTTTTTATTATTGTGACAAGTCATGTCATCCACTCCAAAATAAGCAAAACTCGGGTTTTTTTGCTTTTTTCGGGTTGTTTTTTTTTTCCAATCAATGTATACTCAATACTAGAAGTATACAAACCTCGCTGTATGAAGAGTGGAAAGAGAAACAAGCTCTGTATGTACTCTCCCCAGTCCTAAAAAAAAGAGGAGGCACAAAAATTAGGTAACTGCTCTTCATCCTCAGTCAACAGGCAAGCATAACCTACTCTTAAAAAATCCATTTTGAGATTCAGTTCTACAAGCGTCAGGCAAGATATGCACCTGAAACAACAGGTTTCTGCACGGCCCAGATGCTCACCTCACTATTACATTGGTTTTCTTGATCCTTTCTCCAAACCACATAGTGGAGGGTTTGATGCTGATTATGTGCAAGGGAGTTCCATTTTGGCAAGTCATCCCACAGGGCAGTCTGTTCCCTCGAAAGCAGTCATCATCCTGTCAAATGCAATATAAAATTAAGTGTAATCCTGACCTTCTTCCGCCCAGAAATTGAGCAATATAGTATCTAGTCAGACCAAGTTTTCATCTCGCTTCCAACTCCGGGTTGCCG